GAACAGAAATCAAAATCACAGTATGTAAAACTAAATGCCAAATCACCAATCTTGTAGACAGGATAACTGCTTCTCAATAATTAAGAATATACTCCTTGTCCCCCCTTCTGCTCTGGTTCTATCCTTAGAGGGAGTCTGTTGAGCTGATACTGCCTCCTTAAGACTAACCTCTTTTTTTAAGTTTTCATTAACACATGTTTGCAGTACATAGTGATTGCATCCCAGTGGAGAACTGGTGCCTGCACATAACACAGCTGAGTTCTATTTACTTCCCTTTTCCCTCTCTTCCTCAGTCCTAACTGCTTGATTTTCACCGCACATACCTCCAGGTTTTGTTACGAATTTTTCTCTGTGTGTTACATAGGTCATCAGTTTAAGTCCCTGGCTTTTTTTGAGTATTTAGTTCTCTTTTCAATCAATACACACCACATAAGGACTCATCCCTGTTCCAATCTAAACTGACAAGGACTGGTCACTTTTTCAGGATGAGATCCCTGTTTCCTTCAGAGCAGGTTTGTGACATCCACGCACTGCAGTTGGACTCATGCCGCGCATTGGCACATGCAGATCCGACCCTGTTGTCCTGACGCAGTACAAGTATCTCTTTCTTCCTCGGAGGGTGCCGGTCACTTTCCATGCCCCATGCTATATCAAGTGCTGCGACTTTATTCGTTGATGAAACATATTTATTTTCCAAATGTTGAGAGATTTAAATCTGCCACCCAGCTCAAAATCATCATTTTCCATTTGAGCAACAGGTACCCTACCTCTGTTTTGCCTTTTCATATCCACAGTTGCCTGCTTTGAAGGTTACTGACTCTTTTGCCTGTATTTCTAATAGAGCAGTTATGCTTTTCAGAGAAGCATGACAGAGAAAGATTCCTAACCTTTGCATTGCTAATCCACTGTCATAACATTCCCCCTGTCACTAAAGAAGTCATTTTATTTGCATTTATTTTATGGCTATAATTAAATCTTGTGTTGAAAATTTATTTTTTAAAATTTTCATAAGTTTATGAAAATGTTGTGTGCTCCTAGCTCTATAATTATAAATAACTTCATCTCCACAATAATTTTCAGTAGTGTAGCCTGATATTGAAGGACCTTCATTTGATACCACCTTCTTATCTAATTCCTATTTGAATACCACTAACTAAAATTATTTTCAACTATGTATACTGTCCTGAATATCCTAAGCTTTCTATAAACAACTTTCACAGACATATCAAAAATCATTTTATCTTCATTGTTTCTATATTAACATGGAAAAATAATGCTATTTATATTTGAAGTTACTGACAAAATATTAGTTTATATTCAAGATATTTCCTGATTTTTAAATAAATAGTTACATATATTTGATCCCTATGCTTTCTTTGCACTAATTTCTTTACTACAGGTGTTCTGAACTTCACGGTTCAACATATAGAGTGATATTGTGATTGGGCAAATGTGAGAAAAATTATTGTTTTATGTGGGGCAGCCTCGATTACTACCTATGACAGAAAAATGATGCTGTAATATTCTATAATGGAAATAAGAATTATATTGATATTTACATAGATGACTTGTAAAGCAAATAAAATATTTCAATTATTATTTCAGATGAGTTAAAAATTTACATCGAACATATTTAAAGTATAAAAGCCAATATATTATTAATAATGTGAAGCAAATTCTGTATTTATCATAAGATGATACATTATTAAATCCTAGTATTGAAAATAAGTTTGATTGTTTTTTAAATCGCGTATTGGATTCAGTGTCTTGCTGTGCAGCTCAGACTCATAGTGATCTTCCTGTTTTCAGTCTCAACAGTTCTGGGATTACAGGTGAGTGTCACCACTCGCGGATTTGGTGGCTGCCTCAGTGCCCCCGGGGGTGCAGCCAGCACAGCATGTGGTACCATGGATCAGACTGGGTCCCTGTGCTTGCCTCGCTGGTGCTTAGTCCCCTGACATATCTTGCCAGCCCTGAAAATGAGTTTTAAATTGATAATTTTTCCCCCGAAAAAAATTATGTTCTCTTAGTGTTTTTTTCTGTATTTTAGAGAAGGGTCTATAGGGTGTTCAGGGTCTCAGTACTAGGTTGGATTCACAGTGATTCTCCTGTTCACAGCCTCCCAAGTGCTGGGATCACAGGTACGCGCCACCATGCCCAGTCTCAATGTCTACCTTAGTGTGCCCCGGAGGTGGGGCGAGCAAGGCAGGTCTGGAAATAGAACTCCCAGCTCCTGCACCTGTTGGTAGGTGCTTTAACCTGCTGAGCTATTTGGCTGGCCCTCTAGTACTGTTTTTTTGTAGATTATAATTCTTGACTTTAAAGATTAATTGGTTTACATTCATTCAGTATACTCTAAAATGTTTGTTATGACTTCTTGCTAGATGTCTCCCAACGCCTCCTGTGCTTGTCTATGGGGTTTTTCTGGGCTTGATAAGAGTGTGTAGTACCAAATTAGTCAACTAATTTGAATTAATATGGTTCTGGGTTTAGCTGAATAGATTTCCTGAAGACAAAAGCTCTGTCTTAAATTTTAACTTTAAAGGGCTAAGTTGGAAAGGCAGGCTTGCTTCTGCTGTTGCTGCGTCTTGCTGTCTTCTGCCCGATCATGAACTGTTTCTGCTCTGTGATGCCCCTCTGCCAGGCCAACCTGGTTTGGAGCTAGTGACTATGGAAGAAAACTACTACAAACTGTGAGCTGAAATAAATTTCCTCCTCTAACTTTGAGTGTCAGCTATTTTGTCCCTGCAATGAGAAAAGTAAGACCATGTTCATGCAAAGTTTTTATCACTGTATCAAAAATTAATAAAAATTATAGAGAAACAGAAACAATAGAAAATGTGCAATTCACTTAGAAAGCATAAATGCTTTTCAGATTTAATGTTGGCTGCATAAAAATGTGATAGATTTATTATTTATGTATTGATACAGTGGTAAACCAAAGGCATTCCCTCATCTATCTGCCATTCTAACAAACATCTCTTTGTGCTACAAAAAAGCACTGCACACATCTGAAAAAAATGCTTTTCTAACTTGATTTTGATTTGATACCTACTTAACATTAATTTAAGACATGCAATATTTGGTTGAGACCGTTTAATAGACATTTTAGCTATCTATCCACTATTTCTAGGTTATATCACTGAATTAAATAAGGTGATTAGAAAGAAAAGTGTCTCACTGTCACTGTACATTATTAATCCTTCCCTTCATAGAAATTCACTTCCTGAAATTTGATTTATGTCATATTTTCTGCCCTTCTAGAAGGTCAGTTTCAAAACTGTTTATTTGGATAGCAGACCAATATACACAAAATGAACATTTTTAGAGTTTAGTCTCTTATGAAAAACACCTCATCTGACTATATATTTGATAGCTAATGTGTGCTTAGTTCTAACTTTATTTTTTCAATTTTAATTATAACACAATTTTACTATAAAAATGTCACAAAATAATGTCATTTTTCTGAACTGGCCTGTCTATTTATTGACAAATTTAGAATCCTATTGAAAAGCAAAGTAACTTTTAGGCTATCAGTAGTCTTTCTCCTTTGTCACAGTATATCCTTAGACACTTTAGAAACCATTAACCTCTGTGGCCTTTTGATAAAATTTTGTGTGTTTGGGGAGCACTTAGTACATGATAAACAGATGCTGAGGATACAGTGCTGAAAATATTTGGATAGGGCCTACCCTTAAGGACATTAAACAAAGAATGTAAATATTAATTGTGAGTTATAATCAAATACTGTGTCCCATATGGAAACCTCACAATTTCATTTGGGAAGGGAGTAGCGAAGCAGTGAAGTATGGTCAGAGAGTTGTCCCCAGAGAAACAGCATGAATTGAGATCTGCATGTGGTGAGAGGCGGTGCTGTTTCCTAGTGCAGGACCAAAGAAGAGGTGTGGAAACTCAAAACATCCAGCAGATGCACAGCCAAGAGGGAGAACACATGGACTCTGCTGACCCTGGGTACTGACGGAATACATACAAAACTGAAGAAGGACAGTCGTGCAAAAAATCTGCACCAGATTTGCACCCTGTACCATAAATTTTTTGGCTTATTCCTCATAGCATAAAGAGCATTTATGAATGTCAAATACAGTTTCAAAAATCTACAGATAAAAACATCCAGTTAAATGTGTAAACAGAAAACAGATATCATCAAGAGCTTATTACCATTGAATTTTCCAAATAGCTTCAAAATTGTGTTCATGTTGTGTTCACTATAGTCAGCACACCCTATGGTCAAGAATATTAAACAGAAAATTTCTCCCCTCCTAATAAGATTTCTATATTTAACATTAATTCTCTTTTCACTGGGCTTGCTCCCAACTTCCTAATTTTCTTTTTATTTTGATTCCATGAACTGAACTTTT